AAAAAAAAAAAAAAAAAAGATACTATATTGTCTGTTCAGTTAATACAACATGAGTGTGTGAACTTGTTTCTCACAGACATTAAAAAGTCCACATGAATCTCTTATTTCCTATACTCTCACCTTGCCTGTTCCCTAGTCTCCACTAATGTCTTCTTCCTTCACTATTCTCCTCTACATTTTTCCTGGCCTTGAACTCAAGCATGGCAGACAGCAAATCCTAGACACTCACAAATTTATAGCGGCTGGTGGCAAAGGGGAGGAGGCTACAGTAACTGCCACACTGGATTCTCTTGTGAGAGAAGAAAGAAAGTATCTTGTATGCCTCTTATGTTTAAAATAGCAATATGGTAGAGTTTCTGCATGACCTAGAGAGCCAGAGGTAGCAAATTATAGACAAAAGAATTCGACCAAATGTCATAAGAGGGAATGTTTGGAAGCAGCTGTCGTCTAACCACTCTAGCGTTTACTTCTAGTGGGCAGAGTAATTTTTTTAAACATGGAAAAATGTTTTTTGTTTGTTTGTTTTTTGAGTTGAAGTCTCACTCTGTCACCTAGACTGGAGTGCAGTGGCCGCTCCCGGCCACCGCAGCCTCGACCTGCTGGGCTCCGGCGATCCTTCCGCTCAACCTTCCAAGTAGCTGGAACTACAGGCGCACGCTACCACGCCCAGGTAAATTTTGATTTATTGTGGAGATGAGGTCTCGCCAAGTTGCCCGGGTGGGTCTCGAACCTGGGGGCTCAGGCAATCCACTCACCTCAGCCTCCCAAAGCGCGGGGTTACAGGCTGAGCCACCGAGCCCGGTTGGAAAAATGTTTTTAATAAAAGAATGGAAAGAAGACTCCTGCTCTGGAAGTTGACAGGAAGTAACACTCATTATTATAAGAAGACAAGATTAAGGCATTGTTTAGATAGCTGGGAAACAATGCCTAAAACCAGGGTGAGGAAAGGAGGGCAGAAAAGAGATGCGAGTCCAATCTGGCCCAGTCCAAGGAAGGTAGGATTCCAGGAGAAGAAACTAAAACAGAAAAACCTTGGACCACGCTTCATTTCCTAAAAGGTGCACTCAATGAACTTCACCCTGTTCTTCAGTTACAAAAGAAACTCTTTAATCCCTTCCTTTGGTCCTTAAAAGCTGCAGTAAACTCACTTATCACATCCACTGAA